CTTCCCCCAAGAATGCTTCGAGGTATATGGCCTCTCCAAGGCTTTCCGATTGAACTTGTACTCCAGCTCACTCTTCTGGAACTTGGCACAATCAGCCCCACACTCCTGGAACACACATCAGGCCTGTCAGAGATTCTCAGAGAGAAATGTTGGGGCAACTGCTATGACATCATGATCTTTAAACATGACAACTGACATTTAAACATGACATTAAGAACACCCAAAGAGGGCCTCTCTGGTGGCGTAAGGAGTTAAGCACTGTACTATGAAGCAATTCGCAGCCTCTGCAGCACGAGTTCAATCCTCGGCCAGCCAGGGAGCAACCCACATGGCGAGGCAGACCTCTCCTGTCTCGCCCGCTGCTCCCTTCAGCACTGTGTTTCAGTCAGTCTGCCTGTACCCCAGCTGTTGTATGCATAAATAAATAAATCTTAAAAAAAAAAGAAGAAGAAGAACACCCAAAGAAGAGGAATAGGAGAAGCAAGAAAGTCTCAAAGAAAGACAAGATTGGGGATGGGGTTTCCCCATTCCTACTTCCCCTTTAAATGCAAAAATAAAAAGCGGCTTTTTTTTTTTATTTGTTTTAAAAATAATTCATCAGTTAACTATGATTTTAAGTTATCTAAGTCCAGAAAGGATAATAAAATGAACACTATGCCAATATTTAGGAGAGAAAATCAGATTTTGGCCTAACTTTAGCCTGAACTCTTAGTCAAGTTACTTCCTGTCTGGATTATACAAATAGCCTCTAGACTAGCTCCAGCCCCTGTAAAGGTTCTGAGGTTCCCCAGACTACGTTACTCCTTTTGAGCTTGTGTTTTTCTGTATGACATATAAACAAGAGGTCCTTGGACAAAAAGCAAACTAATAAAACTTAGAGGGCCCCAGTTTAACTGAATGGAAATAAAAGCTGAATTGTCTGACTATTGCCAGTGTCAGCCTCCAATCTCTAACAATTGTTTTTAAAAACTACTCAGTAGAGAGACTAAGGCTAACCCTCTAAAGTTTAGCTCACTGATATTTTTGTAGCCACAGAGGATCCATGCTGTTGAAAACCTTGGCTCCAGAAATGCCTGCACTAAGAGTACAGCTCCCACTCCTGGAAAAGTTATAAGAAGGCATGGGCAGGAGTTGATGCTGCAAAGAAGTTCAGAAAATACCAGAACTGAAAACAACCCTGGGCCACAGAGTTCACATTGTCTATATGAAGATCCTGAGACCCCAGTGACCTGACCAAAGTCACACAGCCAGTCTCTGGTAGAGCCAGCCAGGCCGCTTTCTCAAAAGCTGCAGATCAAAAAGCTGTGTCTCTGCCCAGAGCTGGGACCTGGACCCTGCTACACCCAGCCCTCCAGCAAGCTACGGAGGAAGTCTTCAGTCCAGCTCCCTTTGCTTCTCACCTTTCTCAAGCAGTAGACTTAACCCCCCCAAGAAGTTCAAAAACACATCTCCGTTTGGGGGTCAACCTCAAACAAGAAGCAATCAGCTGATTCACCAACAGAACGGGTTTATTTGAAAACAACAAAAAGGCAATTTGGAAAGTGCAATCTTGTGGCGAGACACACAGGCATGTCCCTAGAATAGAAAGCAATACCCTCTTATCCATCTCTTGGTAGGGCTGATGCTGGGTAAAAGGGACCCCCTTCTTCTTTCTGATGAGGGGAGAAGCAACATCACTTCCTACTGGATATACAAGGTGCGTGCGAGGGAACTCTTGTCTCCCAATCACATTTCTGTATATTAATTTTCACATAGGCAAACCTTCCCTTTAGAGGAATATGATAAAAGTGAAGTAGCAGAAATGAGCAATGACATGAGATCAGATAAAGCTCTACTACAGTTGTATGGGGAGAAGAGCAGGCTCCTCTTCTCTCAACTGTTTTCCTAAAAGAGTGGTTTCTTTATCTGTTTAATGCTATGATGAACTCTACGTTCAGGAAAATAAAAACGATCACTGTCCGTGTCGCACTATAACACTGATGGTTTCTTTGTTCAAGGTTTTATTGCTTCTCTGCTGACAAAAAAACAAGTGGCAGAACTCCAGGATGAGCCGAGGTATAATGCTTCATTTGTATCAAAATTTGAAAGTGAAAAGTATATTCTACAAGCATATTTGCAGTTATGATAAAGTAAAAAATAACAGAACAAACACAACTTTTAATATTGCAAACAGATGCGTAGTGTGAGTGAGGCAGCTTGTATATAACACTCTGGATAACTAAACTTGTAAATGTGATTCCACTGGGCAAAAAAGAAAAAAGAAATCCCAAAATAAGGATTTTAAAAACTTTCACTGCTTTAATTTTTTTTTAAAGATTTATTTATTTATACAAGCACGGGTACAGTCAGAAGCATGGGAGGGTAAGAGAATTCCCCAGAGCCAGAGCGGGGAACAGAACAGACAGACTGATGAAATACACTGCTGAGGGGAGCAGCGGGCACGGCAGGAGAGGTCTGCGCACCGTGTGGGACCCTCACCAGTGGCCAGGATCGAACGGGCGCAGCAGAGGCTACGGGCAGCTTTGCAGCCCAGCGCTCAACCCTGCTTTAAATTTCAAAGCAAAAATATATACCTATTGTAAAGAAAGCTTAGTTGAAGCTGAGAAAAAGACACCTGCCCAAGAATATTCAGTAAGTAAATGAGATCTTGACCACAGGCTACTGCTCTTTCCACTATAACACAGCCTCAAACTCTTCATTCTCCTCCCTCAGAAGAACTAGCCTATAATTTCAAAGGAAAAGGGTGGGCTGGGTGGGAAATAACTTTGTCTTCATGGCTTCAAGGTAGTTTTTACAACTTCAGCATTCAGACCTGAATTCAAGTTATTCCCTAAATGAAAAGCAGGAATTTCCTTCTACAAAACAAGGTTACAGTAACAAGAAACAGAAGCAGGGCCTTCCTGGTGGTGCAGGCGGTTGAGCTGTCCATAGCTTTTGTAGCGAGGGTCCGATCCTGGCCGGCCAGGGAGCTACCCATATGGCGCGGCAGACCTCTCTTGTCGCGCCTGCTGCTCCCCTCAGCAGTGTATTTCAGTCAGTCTGCCTGTTCTGTTCCCGGCTCTGTCTCTGGTGAATCCTCTTCCCCTCCCTCGCATCTGGCCTGTACCCAGGTTGAACCGAGACAGGAGAGGTCTGCTTCGCCTTGTGGGACTCTTGTCCGCCGGCCGGGATCAAACCCATGCTACAGAGGCTGCGGACAGCCTCACAGTGCGGCCCTCAACCGCCTGCGCCACCAGGGAGGCGCTAAATAAATAAATCTTAAAAAAAAAAAAATAGAAACAAAGTTCTGAAATCCTAGGTGTTAGTAGGTTTGCACCCTTGTGTTTGGGCAAGCCACTTACTTCTCTGAGCCTTTCAAATGAAACCAATAGCACCTACCCCATTGTGCTGCCGAAGGAATGAAATGAAAGTACACTAGCCCTCAGCCCAGGGTCTGAGAGAGTAAGCACTCAAAAATGTCAGCAATTGTTACTCTTTATTTTTATGATTCAGTGGACTTTCATAAAAGCAGAATTAGTCCTGAAAACTAAGAGAAAATCTAAACCTGAATAACGACACTGGGGAGCAGCACCGACTGAGGGAAAGGAAAAAGCGTGAGCTGTTTGCAAAACCAACGAATCAAAGAGCAGACTTTATGGGAGTCTGGGATTGCAAAGCAGAACATGAGAGTCTGCCCTTCAGAGAGCTCTAGAAAAACATAAGCTTAAGCAGACGACGATATGATTAGATGGAAACAACTAAAGGAGTTCAGGGTTAGAGAAAGCATCCAAGCATACCCGAACACGAGCAGAAATTTAGCGAAAGAGGGAGCATGAATATTCATAAACATAACTAATAGCTAACATCTCTTGAGTCCTATGCGCTAAAATACTGTGGTCAGAGCTTTTAAACGAGTTGGCTCATTTAAGCCTCACAATTTCAAAGAAGTATTAGTATCAAGCTGGCTTTTCGAAGGAGGAAACTGAGCTTCACAGAAGAGAAGTAACTAGCCCATATTCACGCAACTGATAAGTGACAGAGTTAGGATTCGAACCGAGAGTCCTGGCATTGCAGCCATTTCAAATTCAAAACGCAAGAAAGGGTGGGCAAGAGAGATAAAAGGAACTCCAGGAACTTCCAGCAATTCCTGCAAGTAATTCAGTGTTGCTGGAAGATGTCAAGATGAAAACTTACAGGCAGAAAGGGGTCAGGCCATTAAGGTCTTGAAGGCCACAATAAATTTTCCAGTCCCCTCGAGGGCAGAAAGTTAACTAAGGTCTGATCAAATCTGCTTTAGGAAGATCACTCTACCACCAGGAGAGGGCGCGAGAGGTGGGGTTAGGAGGGAACTTAAGTCAAGCCGGCAAGTCAGGAGAGCGGCAAAGGGATAAAGTGGAGAGTCCTAAAGAACGGTGGGAGCGAGCAGGACCCCAGGCAGCGAGCAGGTGGTCCCGGCTCTCCGCGGCCCGGATCGCCGGCCACGCCCACCCATGAGCCCGACAGGCCCCGCCCCCAGGATGGCCCCGCCCCGCCCAGGCCCCGCCCACCCATGAGCCCGACAGGCCCCGCCCCCAGGCGGTCCCCGTTACGCCCAGGCCCCGCCCCCACCCGCCCGGTGCCCCTCTTCTCCCGCGCTCTCTCCCCTCACCTTGGCCGTGCGGATCATGCGCTTGGCCACATCCAGATCGCCCTGGTGGTTCTGGCCGATCTCGGCAATAATGAAGCACGGGTGCCGCCCGCCGACCCAGCGCCCGGGACACAGCTCCAGCTCCAGGGGCATCGCGGTGGCTCGCGCTCCGTCCCCTCACCACCCGCCTTAGTGCGACCGCTGCCACCTCGGGTAGGTTCGGCCGCCAGCCTAGCGGGAGCCTCACGCCGGCCCCGCCACGTCAGCCCACGCAGCCAATCCCTAAGCCCCGCCTCGCTCCCGCTAGCCAATCGAGGAAGAGGGCGGAGCCTCCCGCGCGAAGGGTGAGGGGCGGGACCCGGAAGTCCCTTAGCCTTCTGGTGGGCTGGTCGCGCCTCTCGCGTCGGGAAAATGAGGGCTCTGCCGGCCTCCCCTTCTCTGCCTGCAACCTTGAACAAACATTCTCGGAAGGAGGCTAGCAGCAGGTGGTAATCTAAACCTGGCATCAAAGGGCGTGGGAAGACCAAAGTAGCTACCAAAGTAGCCATTCCTACTATGTGAGAGACAGTAGGTTCAAATAATTTCATTTATTTTTCCAAAGCCTTCCAAAATGCTGAAGCAGAGCTAGAATTAGGATCTGTACAGCCTCCAACCTAGGGCTCTTGCAATATGCTATGTTAAGTTTCAGACAAAGTTGAGAAATAAGAGACAGTTTTAAGAAAAAAATAATACCGATTCCCAGCTTGACTTACCAGAACTCATGAACAAAATAACAACAGAAAGGAGTGGAGGTGGCCCCTCTGGGTGCAAAGTGAGAAGGATAGATTTTGAACACTTAGTATAACTATGGAGGTGAAATCCCACAAGGCAAGAGGAAAGGCATGTCTGAGGTTCAAAGGAGAGATCTGGACTAGAGGGTGAGCTAGGAGTCATTCTGAGGAAATGGCTTATAGTAGGTTAGCCTATTCATCTACTATTCATCAAGTTAGGTGATTTAAGTGAGTTTGTGCAAATTTTATTGATTTACTTATTTTTGTAACCTTAGACAAGGAAATAAACTTAAAATTTAAAAAAAAAAAATTAAAAATAAGGCAGAAAAGGGGGGAGAGGAGGTAGAGAAAGGGATCTTAAGCAGGTGACAGAGACCAGAGTGTGTCCTGAGGGAAACCCACATAGTCAGAGGCCCACAGCAATTCAAGAGAATGAGAAGCAAGAGGAAACCACTGGACTCAGCATCAGCAGACTCGGAGAGGCAAGCAGCCAAGGTGGGTAAGGAAACAGAAAGGGCAAAAGTAGATCTTCAGACCTTTGCTTGGAAAAGTTCAGTTGTTAAAAGCAGATGGAAAGTGCACCCTGGACTAGAGGGTCCCAATTGAGGGGAACCTGAAGGCATGCACTTTTAGAGTCCAAGAGGAAGCAACAAAGGAAAGAAGGAGGTTGCAACAGGGTTATTCATCCATGGTATGGGGGTGTGCAGACTGGATGGCGCCTGCATCACATTTCTCCACTTTTAAATGGCCTTTCACACCTGAGTGAGACTGAGCGACAGACCCTGATCACAGAGAAAATGATATCCAACACTGTCACTGTGGGGTAAAGAAAATATGATGGCTTTGAACTACTTGTTTATGAGTAGAAATGAAAGGGGAAAAATGAGAGATCCCATTTAAAAATACAATCATCCTATAAAGTCAGGCTGATGTTATTTGTAATTAAATAAGAACTTCCAGTAAAGTAGTAGTTTACTGTAATAAGGAGAAAAGGGCTCTTTTGTTTTTATTTTTAAAACCATTTTCCAGTTCTCACTGTTGCTTTTTCTGCTGGGAGAATAAATCAAAATGGATGAAAGCAGGTAGTAAAGTTATTCAAAAGACAAATTTAAACCTGTCACTACCAGGAGAGGAAGAATTTCATTTTGAAGAAACTAGGGTACCCAGAGTGCTGGGTCATGGGCATGAAGGTAGAATGTGGGGACCCAGTTTCCAGTGATGCCCCCCAGTGTCCGGCCTGACTATGCTAAGCCCCTCCTGACTTTGACTCCTGCAAAATCTCCTCCAAGCTAGAATGCCTCCTTAATTTTTTGCCACTCTGTGCTCCAACTCCATACACAAACTGTTTTGAGCTCCCCGCAAGGACCATGTTCTTTCACCTCCAGGCCTTGGCATAGGTGTTTTCCTGAGGCTGCAGGCTCCCTACTTCTCCACCCCTGCCATACTGAGCCAGGCCTGGCCACCCTCAGCAGGTCACCCTCTTCAGTATAGAAGCCTCTTCCTCTGAGAACCATCTTGAATCTGCCCAACAATCTTCTTTGGACTCTTATAAGACCCTCTTCTTTGTTCATGTATTACCCTTTGTGGTAACCCTCTCTCCTCTTGTCTGTTTTCGCTGGAATGTGAACTCCTTTAGATCAGAAACTACCTGGATCATGTACTCAACCTTAGGGAAACAGTGGGAACAAGAAGGCTACCCTCTGTCCTTACATTGCTTAGGATCTTATAGGAGAACTGTGTCCTATAGGGCTGGGAGCTCTTTTTATTTTTTTAAATGCATACAAGAGCTGGGGTGCAGGTTAGAAGTGGGGATGGGGAGTGAGTAGATTCACCAGAGACAGAGTGGGGAGCAGAACAGGTGGATTGACTGAAATACACTGCTGAGGGGAGCAGCAAGACAGACAGGAGAGGTCTGCTGTACCATGTGGGTAGCTCCCTGGCTGGGGATCGAACTCATGCTACAGTGGCTGCTAATAGCTTCATAGTGCTGAGACAATCCCTTGTGCCACCAGGGAGGCCCAGGGCTGGGAGCTCTTGAGAATAAGTCTTAGAATGTTTCCTACTCTATTCTGAGCTCCAAGCAGAGGACCTCGTAACACCACTTGGGTGCCAGTAAACATTTTCAGAGTGAACAAGTGCAAAAAATTAAAAATGACAGAGAAATCTGAGGCACAACTACTTCATAACTTCATATGTTTACTTCTCAGGCCACATTCAATCTCTTAGGTAAGCATGACTATTCCCAGAGTTGCTAATAAAGTCAGCTTTCTGGAAAATTCCTCTAAGGAAGAAATGAAGTATTGACCCACCCAAAATCTCCAACCCCAGCTGCCAAGGACCTGCCCTAGGGTTGTGGCCAAAGTGTCTGATTCTCCTAAGGTTCTCAGTTTTTCCATTTACAGGCTTCACACACACCTACTTCCTGCTTCTTCAATCTCGGTCCTCATCTTTGTAATGTAACATCATTTTTTTATAGGTCCCTGAGTAAATAAGCCTACCACACCATCACACCCTGGGCTTGTGGGGCAGATAAAAGTCAACTTCTGTCTCCAGGGAAAGATTTTGACCTTCCGTTTCCAAAATGCTACCTTACTCGCATGTCCAACAAATTGTTCCTGAGGGTCTCCTCATGCCAGGCTCTAGGAATAGAATGGGGAACAAAGGGTGTGTTCCTTTTCCTGTAAACTAATTTATAGTAAAAGTAAAACTAAATCCATACACATATAAAACCATGAATTATAGTTAAGACAATGAAGAAAACAAATTGGAGACAAATAGGGGACCAAGTTCCTTCTCTGCCTGTGCTCAGTCCCCACAGGACACGGACAGAGTATAAAATCCTGAAGAGAGCACAAGCCTTGGAATCAGTGTGGCTGGATTCCGCTCCCAGCTGTCCCTTTCTGCTGAACTACTCACCTTCCTGCCAAATGGGAATAGTCACCACCAGAGGGCAGTAGTGAGGGCCGCCTTAGAAGAGGTGTGGCAGTCCCCTAAAAGCCCAGAAGTGTGGAGACACTGGGGAAGGGGTCTCTTACTCTAGTTCTGCTCTCTGACTGTTATCCACTGCCTGCAGCCTTCAGGACTTTCCCTGCCCTCAGGTCTCTTCCTCACAGTCTGCCATGCACCATCTCGCTCGCCCCTCTGGTGGGTTCTGCTCCCCTCTATACTCCAGTTAGGACAGTGTAACTGATGTGTTTCCACCATCTCTTCTCACCCTAAATTTCCAAGACTCCCCAAAGCATTAACAAGTTTCACTCGTCTTTCAGAGCTGAAAGAATAAATCGTTTGGGATAATTGACTTGGGAATCTCTTCTATTCACAGGCTTTAAGATTTGTGTCTTCATGAGTGACTCCCAGACATTCATCAACAGCCTGGTCCAAGTGTCCCTGGTTGCTTCTTTCCTGGGGTAAGGTAAGCTGACTGAAACTGAGATGGAATATTATTGTTGTATATGTTAGGCTTCCTTGAGAGGTGTTTCTTATGAGTGCAGGCTGACCTCGGTTCATATTTGTGATGTGGGCCAGGCCACTAGGTTGGCCTCCATTTTGTGGGTCCCACTATACAAATTAACTTTATCTGTTGGATTATCACTTCACAATAAAAAAAGAATGAAGTACTGGCACGCACTACAATATGGATGAACCTGGCATTGGAATCTTGTGCATGAGCATCTTTTTTTTTAAAGATTTATTCATTTATGCATACAAGAGCTGGGGTACAGGCCAGAGGTGTGGGGGGTGAGAGGATTCACCAGAGACAGAGTGGGGAACAGGCAGATTTACTGAAAAACACTGAGGGGAGCAGTGGGCGAAACAGGAGAGGTCTGCTGTGCCATGTGGGTAGCTCCCTGGCCGGGGATCGAACTCATGCTGCAGTGGCTGTGGACAGCTACATAGGTTGCGTCCTAACCCCTTGCGCCACCAAGGAGGCCCTGCATGAGCATCTTATAGTTGAAATATTCCAGAATATTCAACTGAAATAAACTGTGGAGAAAAGTGGTTGGGAACTAGATGAGCTATGATGGGTATTGTCAAATATTTGCAGGGCAAGACTCCCTTGGAAAAGTTGAATTAGATTTTCCTCCCCTTTACGTTCCCATAGAGCAAAATTAGACCCAAGAGTATCATAGGAAATTGGATAAACAAGCTTTTTTAAAAGTTGGTTTTCAAATTTGGTAATAAAAAGTAAAGTTAAAAGTTGCCTTACTATTCTAGAGATAAAGAACTTTCCTTAGCTCTAAGATGGAATACATTGCCTCCTAAAGAGTGAGCTCATCACTGAGGTATACAACAGAAGTCAGGTAGGCATGTTGACAAAGGGTTCCCAGAGGGATTTGACTAGATGAAATCTGGTTTCTCCGATCCTAGGGAGTCTGAATTCACTGCATTTTGGAAGTGTCCATGGGTGTATGGAGATACCATTTTGGTAGCTCCAGATTGGTGGGTTCTGATTTGGGGGACCCCATACTCCTTTGTAAAATTGATTTCTGTCACCTGCTGCCATTATAGCTGTCTGTTTCTTAAAATTATCTTTCTGTTAAAGTTTGAAGGGAGATACTTAGGCATGCATTTCCTAATGGCCAGAATACATTTTGAGAAATGCATCATTAGGTGATTTTATGGCTGTGTGGACATCCAAGAGTGGAACTACACAGACCACACATCCAGGCTATATATAGGGATTACATCACAGTGCAGTCTGTCATCGACAGAAATGTTATGCAGCATATGACTATCATGTGAATTACCATAGCTGAAAGAGTAAATAGTTTGGGATAAATGACTTATGCAGGGGTTACAAAATTGATTAGTGGCAAATCAGCTTTTGACTCTGCTCTCCACACATGAGCTCCCAGGTCTTCCTTTGAATCACATTGTTTGTATGTGCAGATAGCCAGCTGAGGGCATTTAAGCATCCAACTGCCATTCTCTGCCTATTCACTCATTTGGTATTATGAATTGAAGTTTGTCCCTCCAAAATGCAAGTCCTAACACCCAAAACCCTTGAATGTGACCTTATTTGGAAATGGGGACATTGGAGATGTAATTAGTTAAGATGTGGTTATTAGGAAGGGATCTAATCCAAGATGATTAGTGTTCTTATATAGGTACACCTTCAAGATATTGCAAGTTCACTTCCAAACCACTCCATTAAAGCAAGTATCACAGTAAAGTCACACGAAGCTTTTGGTTTCCTGGTGGACATGTTATGTTTACACTACACTGTAGTCTATTCAGTGCAATAGCATCATGTCTAAAAAAATGTACACACCTAATTTAAAAACATTTTATTGCTTAAAAAACGTTAGCCTCATCTGAGTCTTATAATGTTTTTACTGACAATGGATCTTGTACTGATGCACAGTAAAGCTAAGTACAATTAAATGAGATGTAGCTGTAAAAGGGGGACATTTGCACCCAGAGATGTGCATACATACAAGGATGACCCCTTGAGGGACACGGAGAGATGGCTGTCTAGAAGAAAAGGAGAAAGACATGTAAAACTTCCTTTCCTCTCAACCCTCAGGATGATGAACCAACCCTACCAAGACCATGATCTTGGACTTCTAGCCTCCAGAAATGAGGGATAAATTTTTTTTTTAAGCCACCAAGTCTGTGACATTTTGTTAGACCACTCCAGGAAATAAACACACTTGGTCATTGAGAAAATGTACCCTGAAAGCTGTGCCAGTGTGCAGGCCCAGCAAGGAGAATCAGATATGTGGCCAGACACAGTCTAACAGGAGACAAGACGGGAGGAGCATTCAGGACCAGTGCCATGACAAGAAGTCACCAAACCTGCTGTGCTGTGGGGGAGGCTAATGTGTTTGCCTGGCTCTTGAAGAAGGGGTAGGTTTTGCTTGGGCAGATGGAGGAAGTGATTAGACAGAGGAGGCAGTGTGAGCACAGTCAAAGTGAAACACAGAAATGTACAGATGGCCAGGCCTAGTAAGGTTGGAAAGGTAGTTGGAAAAGCATGTTTTCTTTGTTCAGGAGCATGGGGGGCTCAGCACTGGAAGTCACTGGAAGTCATTGAATGATCTAGGTTACACGATATGGCAGGCTGTGTGCAGGTCCCCGGAGTTGGGTAGGGAGGACGGGGTCCAGGGTAGGATACCTGGGCGGTCTTGAGTTGTACATGATGTGGGAACTTGAATTCCTTCCACCTCATTTCTTCTTTTTCTATCTTTCACCTGTCAAAGCACCATCCTTTCTTTCTTCTTTTTTTTTTTTTTTTGGTGGGACCCTCGCCGGCGGCCAGGGAACGAACCGGCACTGCAGAGGCTGTGGGCAGCTTAGCAGCCCAGCGCTCAACCACTGCACCACCAGGGGAGGCCCAAAGCACCATCCTTTCTTTTGCCACAAGTAGGATTTAGGCTCAGTCAGACTGGAGAGGTTCAGGCCTACCTAAGCTTGGCAGTGTGGTTGTGGGTAGGATTTGCATATGTTGTGGCAGGGGGCACTGGGTGGCTCTAGAAGCAGGGGAACAATATGTCCCAGCAGAAAGGGAACCGAGAGTAGGTCAGGGACAAGGCAGGGCACCAACCCAGTCACTGGAATAGACAGTCAAGAGCCTGATAGGAATTCCCATTCCCAGAGATTAGGTGAGGTCCTATAGAATTCTAAGGTATCCCCAGGGTCCTGTCACCCACTCCCAGAGTCCTCCAGTGTGGGGCCACCCACTCTGCTCAGATGCCCTATTCTCCCCTAGTCCCTGATGAAGCTGCAGCTGCCAAGTGCAGTCGCTTCCCAGCTCTTTTCAAGGAGTTACCCTTCACAGGTGTCCGGCAGTTTTACCCCCAGAAAATGGGCAGGAGCTTTCGGTTTATAAAGGGGAAAACTGATTTCTAAGAAACTAGGGCCTTTTGCAAGTGCACTGAGGTAGGGCTGCCTCCCACAATTAAATTATTATGATTGAGTGGAAGTTGTCAGATTTAGAGGTGTCCCCTGTCTGTCTGCATCCCACTGAGCATGAGAACTCTGTTCTCTGTGGAATCTCTGAGACCAACAGGCTGTTGTTAACCCTGAGGAGCAGCATTTAGCAGAGCAGAATTCAAGCAGAGCTGTGTTAGAAACCATCAAGTCAGCCATTTACTGGCTATGTGACTGTGGGTACAGCACTTTACCCCTAAATCCCCAAGGTCCCACATTTATAAAATGGAGATTACACTGTTATTATTTTGCAGAAAGGTTGTGGATAGAATCAACAAATGGCCTGTTCTCATTTCCTCCAACTCGAAGTGACACTGCCCCTCAGTGGCACATGAGTATACTGCTCATGCTAACGCAAGTCTTACAAGGACACTTCCCAGGACACTGACTGGTCTGACTAGTAAGACCCACTCACAGTTATTCTTATTGCAGTTCTAGCAATAGAACACATTTCACTCACTGCCAGTCCTGGGGCTCAGTCGTCATCCAGTATTGCCCAATTAACTGTAACAGCCTCCTCACTGGCCGCCTGCTTCTGGTCTGTCCCTTTCTACTCCATCAGTCTAGAATACACATCTGATATTGTCCACCCATCCAACCAACCCTCATTCATGCCTCAGGAGGTGTCCCAGGTCCCTGGTAGCAAAAGCATGAGTAACTAACTCATGGCATCCCTGTTGCTGGTCAGAACTTGAGTATGCTCCATTCAGATTTATGTAGCTAGAACAGAGCTGCAAGCTCAGTGAGCTTGGGCCCAGTATCTTTAGTTGGGGAAATGGAGGGTCCTGAGGGGAAGTGACTCAAGATCAGATACTAGCCAGTATCTAGTATCTGTGCTGTACCCACAGTCACAGTATACTGGCTAGTATCTGATCTACTACAGTGCCTAGGGCTGGGACTAATACTGGTTTCTGGGTTCTCTTTGAGGTTTTCCTCATCCCTCCACTCCTTTCCCAGGGCTTGAAGGTTGAGGGTGGGGCGCTGCTGTAATGAATACATGCATCCTAAACCCCTCCTGGCCTGGCATTAAGTTCCTTTCATCAGACCCAGCAACTAAGGGAATGTTTTCTCTATATGCCCAACACCTCTGGGACGTGTTATAAAATACCTGGTCAGGGATTATGACGCTGACCTAATTGGCTCTGGGAAGAACTTCTACACTTGCTGCTATCTTGGTGGTTTTCCTACAGAGCCAGTGTTTGGCTGGCCTGTGCTGAAGTCTAAGTCACTAGTAACTTGACTCCCTTTCCAAATTGTCAACACAGTGGTATCATCAGCCTCATTAAAATTGGTATCAGCACAACTTGACAGGGCTGGGGCAAGGAGGTCATTGCCTAAGGGCAGAACCACCTTTGTGGTTCTGTCTCACCTTTCTCTGATGGCGTAGCCCAAATAGGAATGCCAGACATGGGAACTCTGCCATAACTATCATCACCTGTACCCTGGTTAGGGGTCCTATCGGTGGTGATGGTGTGGGGG